ACTCTGTAGACCAGGCTGGCCTCGAACTCACAGAGATCCCCTGCCTCTGCCTCGTAAGAGCTGGGATTGAAGGTGTGCACCATCTTGCCCAGACTGAATAATATTTTCTTCTTTGAGAATCTCACGCTGTATTTTGAACATATTCATGGCCTCTCCCAAGTCTTCCTGTAACCACCCTCCCCACTCTCCCGCCCCTTGTCACCCGTTTTCAAGTTTCTTCGTTCCTCCCCCATTCCCAGTCCAGTCTGTGTTGGTCGGCTAGCTACTCAAGCTTGTGATTGGCCTGTGAGATGTCACAGCGATAAGCAGATACTCTCCCTCTCCCGACAGCTGTCAGATGCTCTTCGATCTGGTCACACTTGTGTTAGGGCTGTACGGCTTCTTCCGCCGTCTGTGCTGCGGCTGTCTCTGATCCCAGTTGTGCAGGTCTGGTGCACACTGTCATAATGGTTTTGAGTTCATGTGTACAACTGCCCTGTTGTGCCCAGGCAGTAAAGCAGTTTCCTTCATTTCGTCCACAGTTCTGGCTCTTACAGTCTTTCCACTCCTGTATGAAGACCTCCACACTCAGGCCCCGTGCAAGAGGTGTGGAATGCACACGTGAGTGCTCACCCAGCTCTTGGGTGAGCCAGGAGGTTGGAGGTCCAGGCCACTTGGACCTTGGACTGCTTAGTAGGAACTTCATCTCAGGAAAAATGAAACAAAACATGGTTTGCCTTTCATAGGACATGCTGCTAACACAGTTGACTGCATCCTGAATCCTTTGCTTACTTGCTTTACAGGGAGGGCTTTCTGACCCTGATGAGTGCTGCATTGCAGCTCACTGGGCTAGTCTGCCTTGTGCACCCTGGGTCCGCAGTTTCTGGAGCCACATCCCTCAGCCCTGGGGGGTTTCTGTTTGTTTGAGGCTAGGTCTGGTGGCTCAGGCTGACCAAGACCTCTTTATGTGACAGTGGTCTTGAACCCTACTCCTGCTGCTTCCGTCTCTTGAGCACTGGAATTGCGGGTGTGGCACCATGGCCAGAAAGGACAGACCTACTTACAGCAGCAACGGTGATTTTGAAAGCTCATGTGAGGCTCTCTGCCATCGTTGGGTGTGTAATGTCTTATTTATCTTATTTATCCTGGAAATTGGAAAAAATTACTTTGACTTTATGTAGTTAATACATAGAGAAATAACTAAAGGAAAAATGCAGTTTTAAATTTCTCAATAACCTCAACAATGGTCCACATGATTTTTTAAAGTCTTAAATATACATTTTTATTTATTTAACAAAGGAAACATTTTATGTTTTATTGAAAAGACTTGTATTTGTGTCATTTGAATGAAGCATTAAGGTCTTCTTTTTTGCCATTTTTGAAATATAACATTATTAAATATGTATAAATGTGTTTACCTTCTTAGATTCATGATAGTTGTTTTGTTTTCTACTGGTGCAACAAAACTGTGTCTCATTAAACATTGGTACATAAAATTAAAAGATGTCTAGGATATTTTTTGGAGACTACTTTTAAAGTACATCTGAAAATTACAAAATCTTCAAGTCGAGATGAAGGTTGTTTAAATTACATAGTGAGGACTTTCTAAAGATGAAAACATTAGCTACGGTGATGCTAGCTATTAGCAGTGCTTTCATGTAGAAATGCTCACACATATTTACCGGTGTCAGCCAGAGCACTAGTCATGGGATACTGTGGTTGTCTGGGCTACTAATGATGCTGATCAGCTCTGTCTCAGAAGAAGCAGAAATATGTGATTGTCTGAGCTACTTTCCAGTTGAAGCAATAAATCCCCATGGTCAAAAACAACTTCAGGAAGAAAGTTTATGTTGGCTTACAGTTCCAGAGGGTTCCAGAGGGTTCCAGAGGGTTCCGAGGGTTCCGAGGGTTCCGAGGGTTCCGAGGGTCAGGGTCTTCAGTGGTAGGGAAGGCAGGCATGGCATGCAGGCAGAAGCAGGAAGCTGGCTGATTAAATTTTCATGTATACAAGGGAGGGGGCAGTTAGAGGAGGGGGAGAGGTAGAGGGGATGAGGAACAGGAAGTAGGTCAAGGTTATAGCCATCATCTCCCCTATATAATTCCTTCAGCAAGGCTGCACCTCCTAAAGGTTCCATGACCTCAAACAGCGCTACAGCTGGGGACCAAGTGTGTTCACATGTGTAAGCCTCTGGGGACACTTTCATTCAAACTACCAAATAACGTCAAGTTTGGTTTCTGCATTTCTGTAGCTCTAGGATTTTGGTAACATTTTCCATGCTGCTTTTAGATATCTTAGTAGTTATGCGTGGCGAATGCAGTGATGGACTGGGCTACATAGACTTACTTCCTTGTGTTCCATTGTTATAATCTCCCTGCTGTGTGGCTTCTATAATGCTTAATGAATAGAAAACAGAATGGTGCTAGGCGCCTGACAGTATTAACATTTTTTCTTTCAGGTTATCTGCAATGCTGGAATGAAGTAGCTCAAGATGAGCAAGCTGAAAGTGGTCGGAGAGAAAAGGTACCACAGCCTTGATGAGTGTGAAGACTGGTGTGTGTGACGCACAGACATACACAGTGCACTTGATGTGTGTGAAGGTTGGTGTGTGTGACGCACAAATAACATATGCACAGTGCACTTGATGTGTGTGAAGACTGGTGTGTGTGACACACAGATATACACAGTGCACTTGATGAGTGTGATGACTGGTGTGTGTGACGCACAGACATACACAGTGCACTTGATGTGTGTGAAGACTGGTGTGTGTGACGCACAGACATACACAGTGCACTTGTTGGGACCGATAAAATATGTATGCTGTATAGTTGTGCATGCTTTACTAATACTTAACGTCTCAGTTAAAGACGTATTAGCCAGTGGCTAAACCTGGCTCACTCCAGTATGTCCAGTGAACTAGGAACAGTTTTATATTTTTAAATAGTTTAAACTATAGTGCATTTCACCATGTGAAGTGACCAGAAACTCAAAACTCAGTGCACTGTTGACATTTTTATTGGGACACAGCCCTGCCTGTTAACTTATGTATTTTGGGTAGCTGCATGCCCATAACTCTAAAATAGTTGCTTCCTAGCCCTTTATAGGAAAGTTTAAATATCCTGAGGTTAGAAAGCACATTATGCCATTTTTGTTGGTTTTGTTTTTTCCACAAGCCTTACTGGTTTTAGATTAGCTATACAGCCTTGAAACAGATGAACTTTGTTGTGCCTATTTTCACCTCTGTAAATTATTTTGGTATTAATGTTACATGGTGTCAGTGGCTAAGTAGTACCTTGCCGAGAAAGTAAATGATATCTTGCTAACACTAATGATAATCAAGACTTCTACTTTGTGGGCAGTATTGTGGTTTATGTCTTCATGTATATATATGGCTTTGCTTTTATAGATAGTATGTTATAAAGTAGAAATGTACAACTTATTAGATAATGTTTATTTATTAAATTGTTAGGTTTTCTAGTTATTTGCCATAATAAATTGCATTATTTTACTAACTGTATAGTTTCTACAGGAAGGTGGTTAGAATCTTTTTTTTTTTATTCTAAGAAGGAACCCCCTTTTTCCTTCCCTCCCTTTCTTCCTCCTTTTTTCTTTCTTCATGAGCATATGCATATGTATGTGGGGGCATGTATGCCATATTGTACACATGGAGATCAGAGGATAGCTTTTGGAAATCAGTCATTTCCTTTATATGGATCCTGGAGATTGAAGTCAGGTCACTAAGCTTGTGTGACAGGTACTTTTATGTGCTGATCCATCTCACTGGCCCCAACCCTTATTTTTCTGAGCAGGTCAAATATCCAACCTGTTTCCCACTAATTAGTTAAATTTCTAGAACACTGCTCAAAAGTTTCTAAACCTCAAGCTCCTCATGGCAGTTTGTTTTTGCATCCTAAAATAAATTGTACTAGATATTTATTGTTTGTTGTTTTAGGCTAGACAGCCACTATACATTTTTACTATGTTAAAGCAATTTATTATTTCTGTTAATACTTATTGCATTAGTTCTTGCATCGCTGTGGTCAACTGGAAGTGTGTAAAACCAGCCATGGTTTTAGAGGTGAAGTCCATGTCGTTGGTCCCTTGAACTTGGGTGGAGCACCATGGTGTTGGAGCATGCTGTAGAGGAGTGAAGTGGTTAGGTGCACGCCTGTGAAAACTTACTCGGTAACTTCCAGCTGCTCCCTGTCTCCCATTTCACAATTTTCTAAAGTAGCAGCACCCTCTGGAGACCAGTCATCTAAGCCATAGCTCATGGAAGCATTATGTATTCAAACCAGGGCACTTTCTCTACCTGCTGGTGAGGGCCCAGGACACAGTAAGATGGACTGAGATAGAGAAGGGACAGCACCTTCAGCTGCATTAAAAAGACCTGAAAATACACTTGTTGCCTACACTGAGCATATGCAGACCTTTTTCTTGTCATCGTTTCATAACTATAGACTGCAATAAAGATTCACACATGACATACTGTGTTAGCTATTGTAAGTGATCTGGAGATGATAGGAAGTGTGTATGGGTTTGTATAAGGAAGCTGAATGTGCGTGGATTTGGGTATCTGTGAGGGTCTAGAAGGTCCTAGAATGTCTGTACAGCATAATGAGATTGACAACTAAAAAATGTATCCTCCAAAGGCCTGCATGGAGGAAATAATAATCTCAGGGGTTATTTTGAATTATTTTTTCTTTGAATGATATCAAAACCACATCAGTTTCCACAGGAAATGCATTTTGTACTTTCCATATCTCCAGAGGTTGTGGATGTTTCTTTCTTATTTGATGATTTTTTCACAACCATGTCATAAATCTCCTTAGCACTTGGGACTCTGCATGTGCATATTATTGTGTGCATGCTTGTGTGTGTTGCATGTGGGCATGCATGTCCACACTGCCCAGGTTAGAGGCTGCCCTTTCTCTTGTGTGAGGCAGGCTCATTTCTTCTATAAAGCAGGTGAAAGTCATTCTGCTTTAATATCTACAAAAGCTAGGCAGGTTTCCTGTTCTTTCTGACAATTTGTATATTCTCTCTCTCTCTCTCTTTCTCTCTCTCTCTCCTTTCTTGAACAGTTTCACTGGAAGTTTATTTTTTATTGATTTTCTTGAAAAATCTTCTGGTTGTTGTGGGATTCCCACCTGGTACCCATTGCCGCTTTAGCCCCCAAATAACACACAGGGCACAGTATTAACTATGAAGCTGTTGACTGTTTGCTGTGGTTTCTAATATGCTAGCTCTGACTTAATCATTGACCCATAATCACCAATATATATATTTTTATAAGGATTTATCTTTCCAAGAATGCCAGACTTGTGTTCTCTCCTCCAGGGATCACATCGCGACAACTCTCTTCAATACATTTCCCAGAGTCCTCCTTGACTCCTAGTCCCACCTATCTTGCTTCCCTATTGGCCAACAGTGCTTTATTGACATATACACAGAAGGACTTCCCCATCATCTCCTCTTTTCTGTCTAAATAAAAAGAAAGGTTTTAACTTTAACATAGTCACATGATATATAACAGAACAGTTATCAAGTAAGAACAATGTTTAGTCCATTAACATTTAGTAAGATGTAAAGAAAGTATTTTTATCAACTATCCTATCTGTGTGAGTCTAAAGTCTTATATGTAGCTTATCTTTTGTTGTAACTGAAGAAAACTATAACTATCTGTCTTCAACTCCATCAAAGACCACAGAAGGATAATACATAAACACTAGAATTCACAGAGACATCTCGCTACCTGGACAGTTACCCAAAGTTCCTCTGTAACGTTGGGGCATCCATCTTCAGCCCATAGGCCACAGTGGGTCTGGAAGACTTCTCAGCAAAGCAGGAAATTTAAAACCATCTGCCTGCATTGGCTGTTTGTCAGTCATTTCTCTGTGTCCTCCAGAAAGTTCGGCAGACTCTTCCATGAAGCAGGAAACCTTTAGTCCATCAAGTTTAACAGTCACTTTCCTGTGGGTCCTGTATGTCCAGTCTATCAAACAGTGAAAGCAAGATCAGTTTCTTGTGCAAATGGCTAATTTTGCTATGTTGAAAGCAAACTCCGTAATGAGTTTCTTCGATCCCACTCCTGACACCAGCTGAATATGGAAATAATGCTACCTGAAAAGGAGGTCTACGATACTCTATTGAATATAGAAATCACTTACTGGGAAGCGCTCTATGGTCCCCGCAGTGGCCAGGATCCAAGAGAGAGAGAGATTTACCTTATCTCTCCTTTATCTCCCACCTGTCCCTCATACCCAAAGGGGTGTAGACAGTATCTTGAGTGTGTGAGCTTTCCCCTACATCTGGTTCCAGTGATTTGGGGAGGCTTTCTGTCTTTTTTATTGTTTTTTGCTTCATTTCTTGACTTTTGATTACTCAGATTAGTTTTTAAAGTTATTTATTTTTATTATATGTGCATTGATAATTAGCCCACCAACATAATATGTCTGTATAAAGGTGTCAGGTCCCTGTAACTGGAGTTACAGACAATTGTGAGCTGCCATGTGGGTGCTGGGACTAGAACTCAGGTCCTCTGGAAGAACAGCCAGTGTTCCCAACTGCTGAGCCATCTCTCCAGCACCATTCAGAGTAGTCCCCCCTCCCCACATGAAGTTAAGAAATATACATTGCATGCTAAGTGACTTGAGGTATTTCTCTGTTTGTTGTTGTATCTGTTTGTGTGTGTGTGTGTGTGTGTGTGTGTGTGTGTGTGTGTGTTGAGACAGGGTTTCTCTATGTAGCTCTGGTTGTCTTAACTCCCTCTGTAGAGGTGGTGTCAGACTCAGAGATCCCCCTGCCTCTGCCTCCCCAGTGCCTGGATTAAAGGCATGCACCACCACTGTCTGACAATATATTTCTTCTCTGATTGGGCATTTGTGGTTATTAATTTTCTCCTTAATCACTGCATTACATATTTTACTAAGTCTGGTGTTTTGTTTTTATTCAGTTCACGATTAACTTTATAAAAGACTCATTATCTATGTATATGGATGTTTTGTATGTATGTAGTCTGCACACCAGAAGGGTCATCTGATCCATGGGACTGTAGTTATAGATGACTGTAGCTGCCGTGTTGGTGCTGGGCACTGAACTCATGGCCTCTGAGCAGCCCGTGAACTGCCAGTGTTCTTAACCGCTGAGCCATCTCTCTAACTCTCTAGATTACTTTTAAGTATTTTAAATTTGTCTGATCTGTGTTTTAAGTGTTGACTTCTAAGTATGTGAGGACTTTAGGTTATTTTAGCTGGTGTCATTTTAGTGTATTTGTGGATGAGAAGAACGCTGTCTGGTTGAGTTCTTTGGACGTTGTTTAGCAGTGCTTCCCTTGGAGCAGGCTCCTCCTGGGCTGCACTTGGATGCACACCCTGCTGCTGGGTGCCCTGTGAACAGGGCTCACATTGACGTGTGCTGTGCCCAGATACCTCATCACTTTCCTACTTCTGTCTGTTGATGTAGGGATTGCCATTCATTTGCTTTTGCCTCTGTTCTGTACATTTTGCAAGTATTATGTTTTT